TATTACAATTATGTAATTATTTAAATAGTTTAATAGAAAAAAATTAGGATCTGTTGTAGATTAAATTTTTTTCACTTGTTACTCCTTTATTGAAATTAACAAAGCAATAATTAATTTCTCCACAAAAAATTATATTTAAAATTAACATACCATAGGTTTAGGTGTGATTATAAATAGGTTTAAAAATATGCAGGACATTAGTTTATCAGTTTGTAAATACTGTAAATAATTTATTTTCTATTTTTCAAAGTAACATAATATTATTTAATATATTAATTTATATAAAAAAACTTAAACAACACCTTTAAATAACTTTTATGTTAGCTGGTTATTTAAATGTTGAATTTTGTGAACTTGTGAATGTATCAGACATTTTCATCAACCATTGTATAACGTGGGACCACAAGATGTCTCCATTTTTCATCATCTCACTTGTTAAAGCCACATGCTCTGGAGTAGGGGAAACATGGGTGTTTGAAGAAATTATTTGGAAAATCTAATAAAATACATCCAGTTTTTTAATTCTTAAAACTGTGTATCTTATTAGCAATTCTTGAACATTTCTTCAAATTCAAAACCCCGGAATTGTCTTGTAATATATTTATATGTACAAAATATTTAAAAAAAAACAAAAAAAACTGCAGAGCATGGCTTTAAAACTAAAAGACACTCAGTTGTGACTACTCCAAAGGCATGGAAGTTATATATAATGTAGGTGTAAGATAATTGCAGTGATTATACCATAACAGCTAATCATATATATCTACATGCATGCTATGTTATACAGTAGGTTCTCAAAGTACTGTACAACAATTGACTCTCATTTGATTGGTCAGCAGTTTTGTCGACCCGAAAGAGGTCAGTAGTTGATTGTAGTTATTTTCTACTTCTTCTACACCTGATTGGTCAATTTTGAAATGTTTTTAACCTTGGTAAATACTTACCTGATTACTTATATGATTGGTTGGAAATAATCAGTTAATCAGAAATTGACCAGTCACAGACTTTAAATTTGAATGCATAGTGTAATGCCATGCATTAACATGAAGTGAATATGTATACTGTATCACTGCAACACCCATCTTAGATCCATCCCTTATCTCCTGCATTGCTTTGGCTGCTACATGTTTTTCACCTCCATAACGTTGTCTTCTCATCTCTTGATTCACAACTCATCTTCTTGTCTTCTTCGATGGCCCTCAGCGATCTTGGAGTGTGAGGAGATGGAAGAAGTCCATGTTCAAGTCGCAGAACGCAAAGGAAAACTTCACAAGTTCCTTGGTGTTTTTTAGACCAATCGCATTCAAGCCGAAATACAGATGTTTATCAGGAGTCCAGGACTTTTCCATTTGAAAATAGGGAAAGAAAGTACCAAAGTTAATTATAAATAATTTATACCTTGCAACGCATATTTATACCTTGTTGTACAATATGTTTCATCAGAGTGCCTTGAACCATAATTTATGATTGTAAATGGGTTTCATAGAATGCTGCTGTGTTTCTTAATTTCCTGCTGGTACTGCAAAAGTACATTTTATTTGATAAATAACCTGGTGACCTCTAACCCCTGGTCAAATGTGCTGTTAACAATTTTGCTTGATATTTTTGGGGAAAAAAACCACAGGTAATTTTTTTTTTCTTTTTATAATCTGTTAATATAAAATGTATTAACCTTATTATTGTTATATATTAGAAATATTAGTTTATTTTCTTATAATTAAGATATATTTTATTATATTTTAATTACGAGTACAATTGTTCTAAATTATGATTAATCAGTAGTACCTTGCCATAACGGTTTGTCAGTGTAATCATAGAAGATAGTTGAAACTGTTTTATATTCTCTATTATTTTACTGAAAGTAGTTTTTTTCACTGCCATCAATTTTCATGCTTCAGATGACATGGGAATTATTATTTAATATTTAATATATAATGAAAGACATTCTTTTTTTTAATGTTACTACATATTAACAATTTAGTTCCTAATAAAGATCAAATACAAATTAGGGCACTTCCTAGCTAAAACACCATGTTTTGCTTCATCTTTTAAAGCATGTTTAAAAAATTATCTTTTTTAATTTTAATAATTTTATATTAATTATCATTTTTCATGGATATCTTTTCTATCATGAAACTTGAAATCTGTTTCTTCTTGCAACACCTCTAGAAATACGAGCTTCCTACGAGAGGTTAGCATCGGCTCAGTGGCACAAACATGTTCAAGATGAAATCAAACAACTGAGTTTCCGCAATACGTTTATGCTGCCACCTATAGTTGAATGATGCATGTAGATTGGTGCTGGTTGGCATGTTATATGCAAGAGGGTAGCTCATTTAGAAATCACTGCATTTTTATCCAATTTATTATGTTCCCTATATAGTATGATAGTTTAACCCTTCTACCCTTTACAACAGTAATTAGTAAGTAATTTTCCATTAGTCATTAAAACTGGCCAAACTAGATGCATGTGCCGAGAATTTTGCATAATAGATTTAGTTGGGACATGGGCTTGTTTCATTCACTATAAAATTAAATATTTTATGATATTCAGAATTATGTGTTTCATATTCACTGTTGTATAATATATTATTGTTAAAAATTATATTAATATTCATAAAACAAATCAGGTATTTTGTTTTTATTTTGTTTTTCCTTTTGTTGTCTTTAACAACTACAATTTCTTGATACTAATAATAATTATAATACAATATTGGTCCAATAGTATAGTAGCATAGCATGTATACCTTAATTATATCAATACTGATGATTATTAATTATAAAATGATGTGTTCCTAATTCTTACAGTTATAGAGAAATAATGTAAATAGAAAGTATATAGATTAATTAACAAATAAAAACATTACACGTTTGCTTTTGTAACTGAGAAATTATGATTGTAATAACAAGAATATTTTAATTGAAAGCTTTGTTGATGGTATTCATTTTTAAAGGTTGTGATAAAAAAAAAATATGGCAATGGAACTACCATTTCTTGATTATAATTATACTGTCTTGGTTACCCACAGTAAAGCTGCTTGTGGTGCATCACATAGATAGTTTTGAAAAGAACCATTGTTTTTCTTAAGATTACCTCAATGTTTCTATTGCCTTTCTTCAATTATTATCAGGAGTATAATATCAAGAATGACGATTGAAGCAAAAAAGAAAGTCAGTCAGAACGTTTTAGACACTCAACATAAACAACAGTTCTATTCAGATTCTTCTATATGGTGTACCACAAGCATTTATTATTATTAGACCTACTTCACCATGCAAACCTTTAAAAAATTTTAAATTATATAGATACTTAAAAATGTTTAAAAACTGCTCCAGTAAAATATAACATAATATAGTACATAAGAAAAATATAAACATAGCATTATTTTTTACAATATAGGGAAAGTTTAAACTATACTTCCGATCTATAAAATGGAGCTAGTGGACTTCATCAGGAGAGAAATAAACAAAAAGTATACAGAAGATTAATGTAAAAAAATCTGTGGGTAATATAGCATGAGGCTATGGTAAAGTCAGTATAGTAAAAACAAACAAAATGTATAAACTTTAATAAAATCCAGAGAAAAAAGGGTAAAGCATCAATGATAAATACAGTAACTATAATACATTGTAACAAAAATTTATATAGTAATAATAATGTAAAATAGAATTGAAAATAAAATAACCAGATTTTTGTATCTTGAAATTAAATTGTCAGGAGTCTAGATCAATTCTCATCTTATATTTCTTGTTATTTTAGTATTTTTTATTTTTTTTTTATTATTCCAATTCAACTAATAGTAAATAGTGATTGGGCTTTGTCATTACTGATAGTGACAAATTGCTTATAAGGTATAATGTTGGCATTTAACTTTGATCTCTTACATTTTGAATCAGCTTTTGATCTTGTGGAACAGGGTGGTAAATTCTTAAGTAGAGGTTTGAACTTCAATGTAAAATTCAGATATGTTTTTGAGAATATTTATCTGTAATTTTGGGACTTGAAAATAAATGTATGTAGTATTATTGTTACTGTTTCATTGCAGATTTTCTTTAATAAATTTCTTTCATTAGATTTATTGCATTTCTTCAATTTACTGATTTGAACATTTTCTCAATCAGTATGAAGGCTGGTAAATGTACTCTTAATGTTTATGATACTGTTTTGGAAAATGTTGATACAGTAATTCAATTAGTGTATTAATATTACCTGCTTTAGTTGAAAATATTATAAAAGGATAGAAATGCTGATCCTAATCTGTTGATTATAATGTTTTCATTATATTAGTGTTTTCAATGTTGATGTTTTATGTTGAAAATGATGATGATGATCTTGAAAAATGTTGTTGGTGATGTTGAGAATGATGTTAATGTTGATAGTAACAATGTTAATAATGTCAATTTTGGCAATTACCTTTAAATGCATTAGTCATTCATGTTGATATGAAGAGTGATGATGTTGAGGGTTCATTATTATTTTTAGTTTCAAAATTTGTATTGCTGTTAAGACAAAATTTATATTTATATAATTGCTATTAAGAAATTTAAAAAATATCTACTTTTCATATTAAACATGTTGTTTTAATATTTAATTTGTGTTT